TGAGAGCGAGAGAAGAGAAGAGAGGATGAGAAAATTTGAAAGAATGTGATCATATGGGAACCGATGTTTGAACGTGCTATGGCCGTAAATCATTCCAAACCGTACAACCAGGGTTACAGCACCTGGTAGTCCCAAGTAATTACCCATATAGAACATAAAAGCAAGACAATTCGTCTTAATTGTTATAGGATGTTAAGGAATACTTTACTTACATGAATATGTATACAGCTGCTATGATAACTTCCCAGAAAGTAAGAAGATTATGTGAAAGCTGCATTTTAGAACAGTGTATAAGTGGTGAACATATGGAAAAAAGGATTCTCTATACAAAGATAAAATAAATGAATAAAAGATAGCTACATTAGACAAATATTCAAATAATAACATGACCTTAAAAGAGACTAATGTAGAGAGAAAACTTTTTAAAGGTTTCATACCGGCGATGCTATCGTTGTGAGAAAGTTTCAGGTGGATGAGAAAAATAAGAACTGCTCAAGCTTTAAAATGCCGCTTCCGGTGATAATTAAGGGTTAACAGGAAGTGATCAAAACGGCGATCAATCTAAAAATTAACTAAACTGAAAAAAGGAGAAGCAAATGGAAGTAAAACAATACAGTTTCTGTAATGTGGTAACAGAAAAAGAGCTGCGTTTCTTCTGAAAAATTTCCTTCAGAAATATATTTAACAGATTTACCAAAAGATTATCATGAGCTTCCATTTACTCATTTGTTGCGCCATTGGTGTTTTCAAAAATACTTTTCTTGGCGATTTTTGGAAATAGTTGTAAGAAACCGGTAGAGAATTTTTATTTACAGATTCCAGGCAACAATTTACAAGCGTATATTTTAAAGAATTTATTTACATTTTCAAACAATTTACAAGTGTGCATTTTAAAGAATTTATTTACAGATTTCAGGCAACAATTTACAAGTGTGCATTTTAAAGAATTTATTTACAGATTCCAGGCAACAATTTACAAGTGAACATTTTAAAGAATTTATTTACAGATTCCAGGCAACAATTTACAAGCGTATATTTTAAAGAATTTATTTACAGATTCCAGGCAACAATTTACAAGTGTACCTTTTAAAGAATTTATTTACAGATTCCAGGCAACAATTTACAAGCGTATATTTTAAAGAATTTATTTACAGATTCCAGGCAACAATTTACAAGTGTACATTTTAAAGAATTTATTTACAGATTCCAGGCAACAATTTACAAGTGTGCCTTTTAAAGAATTTATTTACAGATTTCAGACAACAATTTACAAGTGTACATTTTAAAGAATTTATTTACAGATTCCAGGCAACAATTTACAAGTGTACATTTTAAAGAATTTATTTACAGATTCCAGGCAACAATTTACAAGTGTACATTTTAAAGAATTTATTTACAGATTCCAGGCAACAATTTACAAGTGAACATTTTAAAGAATTTTCTATGTTTATCTGACAAGAATATTTGAGATATTTATGTCAATATAATCATTAATAAAATTGTAAAGAATTTTCTTCGGGTACCGAAACATTTCCCCATCTATTTAAAATAATTCCTGCCAGAAGACGCTCTCGTGTCCTCTAGAATAGCAGACTGAGATCTTTTTTCTTCGACCTCCTATCCTCAATTCGTATTTTCATTTCGGGGATAAAACTCCATCTTCCATGAAAAGGCTTTTATTTTATCTCTTGTGCCAGGTAGATTTGTTTTAGGTGACACCACACATCATAAATGAAAATGTCTGTGATTAGTAGTGGTTTGTAGGTGGTTCAAATAAGCAGTTGCATGCATATCGGCTGCTCTAAAATTAAGCATTTGAAAACTCATCTGAAAACGTATTTTGTCAACATTCCCACATCGTGATAGGATTTTACTTTTCTTTAATCAAATTCGCCTCACCAAGGCAATAACGCCACTAAGACACAAGGGGTTACTGAGTGTTAAAGAATTAGGAAATAGAAGTTTTGTTAAGAAGCGAGAACGATAGAAGTGTATTCAGGAATATATTAGATAATAACTGACATTGCATTTAAATTTCTGAAAATCAAAGTTGGCTGGAAAGCATGGAGTCGAAAAAGTATTCTACAGGCGACAAATGCAAGAAAAGAAACTGTTAGCATAGAACTTACGGTTACATCTATCCAGCTCAACTGTAAATTGGTGACTCCCCTGCTACTGCGATTAAATTCATAAATTCTAGATACCATTGCGAAGAATTTATTAGGAACAATTACCATCAAAGGATTTATAGAAAATACACAAGGAAGCGTCAAGAATCTATAAATATACAGCAGAAGCACAGGACTATATGTGACTGCAATATTCAAAGAATGAACGAATAAATATATAAGATAGTTTCCGAAGATAAAAATTGTCTAGCACGACATTTTCTTAGCAGTTGATCTAGCAATGGATTCAGTATAGTCTTTCAACTTCGGAATATTAGAATATATTTGAAATTCTCACGGTACTAATGCTGTGACAATAGTGATTCTCCAAGCATAGCTTAGATGTGACAGAGGGCCGAAAGTATGGGACACCCAGTGAGGATCGAAATCACTATTCAGTCGTAATTGTTCTAGCAAGACAAGCTTGCTAACAATTACACCGCCTCGAGGTGCCCAAATGCTGTGACAATATCTCGCGGATATTATTTGGACATTGTTCGAAAAGAATTGTTCGAAAAGAATTATTAGAAAAAAAACATTTATTAGAATTGTAAATTATTTGAATGAAAATTAATCGAAAGGTGAATTAGAGTAAATGCTAATTATTTGAAATACCTATGTTTTAAATATGTATGTGGTCTTGCTTTTAGAGAGTCAATGCTGATTTACCTAGAACTACTAACCCCCTTGAAGGATGGAATAGGGCTTTTTGCAGCAGCTGCCATCGCACAATATGAAAATTCGACGCTCTTAAAAGAAAACAGGACTTGCAAGAAATTCATATTGCAAAAGTAAGAGCAGATTGCCAAAATATCAAGAGCGCCAAGAAATACTGTGATGTAAATGGAAAACTTAAAAAAATTAGTGGCATCATTTAATGAGTACTTTTTTTCAGTAGTTGACTATTTATGTGCAGTATCATATAACTTAAGGTTATAAGAATTTTTCTTACTAAATTGATTTATTAACGATATTTGTATTTCCAATAATTATCATTTATGTATTTCCGCTTTTAATTTTTACATTCTTATTGCAATAAAGAATTTTACATTTCGAATAATTATCATTTAGCATAAATGTCCTTTCGATTAATTTTTCATTCAAACAATTTACAATCTAAATAAATGTTTTTCAGATAATTGTTTCAAAAAATTATTTTCGAACAATGTTCAAATAACCTCCATGACATATTGTCACATCATTTGAACATCTCGAGGTGGTAGCACTGATTAGTGAAAATAATAAACCCCTAAACTATTGTCAAAACACTATGGAAATATAAAATATATATTTTATAGTAAAAATACCAGCAATAGATTTTTGTAAAAAAGTTAAAAATAAAAGTTATCAGCGATATGCTTTTGTAAAAATTTAAAATATTGCTGGCAATACATTTTTTACAAAAAATTTTTTTAAAAAAATGACCAGCAATGCGTTTCTGAAAAAAATTACGAGCAATATATTTTTGTAAAAAAATTACTAATGTTCCCTTGAAAATTATGTTTCACCATTAAATGACCCATGAGGAGTTGATATACCGTTAAACAAACACACAAAGAAACAACTCATTAAATAATTGTATTCTGCTTGTGGAATCAGGCCTGATAATACGCAAGACAATGCAATTAAAAATGGTTAGGAAAACCCACCAAGATCAGATGGGAATAGAACACAAATCAGACTAAGGAGAATATTGAAGAGCCATATAAAAAGACATCAAGAAGGTTTCACAGATGCCACAAAATAAAATTCGCAGGCAAAAGAAATCACTATTTGTGTTGAAACTCCAAGCAGAACATAGCAGTGGAAGCAGACCTGATTCTTGTAAACTGAGAATGGTACTTAATCGAGTTCTGTTACTATTCTAACTTCCTGTTAGTCCGACATTTGAGAAACCATCCGCTGGTAATGTAAGCCACGTTTGCAGAGAAGGAAATACCTAAAAAAATGAAGTTACGACGGTACCTAATTCATATCATGCGAATTCAGAAAACTAATCTAAAGCCGTAGTTTCACAGTCAGAACATCATCTTTTCATTAAACCAAAGGCCGTCAGTGAGAAACATTTAAAAAAAATAAAGAAAATTCTCATCAAAGCCAATAATCAGGAGACGATCCATACTTTACTTTAATCCCATTCTTACTGGAAAGAGCGATAACAGCTACTGGACTTATGAAACCCACTCTCCAGAAAAATCTGTTTCAAGACAAATTCGTAAAGTCCTGAGTACTGACTGCTCGGTCAATGAGGGTCGACTATTTCCTTACAATGTAACTACTAATATTACTATTAGGATTGGTATTATTAACAAATTATAACAATAAGCATGAAACGTTCATATATCATGACACTATTCTTTGAACTTGTTGTATAAGAGTAAGTATCGTTGCCGACACTGTGGTTTGAAACTAGATCACCAGGGAGTAACACGGGCGATTCCATTATTAAGTAGATCACGTGATCATAAAGGAAGTGAATAAATAGGAAGTAGCGTGATGACTATATGTTCACTGTTCACCCCTTCTTGTCTATCCGCTATACATTCACTCTCTCTATTTACCGGCATCTACGAAGTCTCGAATATAACGAGCATTTTTGGAAATGATAACGAGCTTTCGCTTGACAAAAAGTGACAAGGGAAGTAGTCCAGCGTCACAAAAGTGACGACGAGGATTCGCAAAGAATAACAAAGGAATGTCTACAGAAAGGCCTTGAAACAAGTTCTGAGCAACTTGTGACCGATGACACGGCGCATTATACCGCTGGAATAACCCATCGTTCTTGCGGTCGACAGAGTCCATGAATGGGTAAAAATAGCCATAAAAGAATGTAACGTGACAGTTACCGGTCAATGACGCATCTTGGCGGATTAGTGGGCTCAGCTCATGTGAATATAACCCGATACCATTATCAAACCACCACCAGCATGCATGATACTTTGCTGACAATTTAATTACATTGTGTCATGTATACGGCGTCACACCCAAAAACTTACTTCCGCCCAAAACAACTGGGAACATGGTTCATTGGACTACAACACACATTGCCTGTCCTCCAGGGTCCTGTTGACAATGTCACGAGGCCAGGTGATTGTATCGTATCACGTGTTTTGGGTTTTAGCCTGGAGGCTAAAGAATGTTGACCTGATATACTGGTTAAGCGTCAAATGAATCCTGCATTGAATGTGGATGTGAACAGGCCAGTAGTGCTTGCAGCTTGCAGACTGCCAAAGTTAATTCGAGCCAGAAGAATTTGGCCCGGGTGATTAACACCCTGAGTGGGCATTTGCGTTGTCCAGGGTGGGCGGTGTCATCCATCAGTTATTCTTGATATATATATATATATATATATATACACACACACAATATATATATATATATATATATATATATATATATATATATATAGGGAGAGAGAGAGAGAGAGCGATATGAACAGACCGAGGTACATAGATAAATGGATATGAACAGAGCGAGATAGATAGATAGATAGATAGATAGATAGATAGATAGATAGATAAAATAAAAATGTCTTAAAATAATTGTCGGGCTTTGTCCATTTCATAATGTGTGACGTCTTTGTTTACATTTGGATACGCCTTGAGCCCATATAAATGTACGTGAGAGATTCATGGAAGATTATAGTTTAAAGACAGTAACATCGACCTTGCTAACCGAACGCTCCTCTGTGGCCGAATCGGTTAAAGGCACGTCAGGCTATATGACGGTTCCGTATAGGATACAGGTTCGATTCCTGTCAGAGGACGACTATTTTCTATGATAATTTCTCGGACATTCAGGCCGGTAAATGTTGTTTAATACTGTTTATTATAAACAGAGCATTTACTTAAATATTTGTATCTATAAAAAGAATGTATAAACATAAAAATGTCTTAAAATAATTGTCGGACTTTCTCCATTTCATAATGTGTATAGATAGATAGATAGATAGATAGATGATAGATGTGAACAGACTGAAAACCCAGGTAGATATTAATCCTGAATTTCTGCGACCCTATCACTCCTTACATCTGGCAATCTAACTGCTCAGACTACAACTCAGTTGATTATTATGTTTGGGACACAGTTGAGTGAGAGATCGACAAAACTCATTGTAACACCAAAGATGAACTGACGGTAAGGATTATGACAGCATTCACCAACGAAAAAAAAAAAAAAAAAAAAGACCGTTCAGAAGAGATGCAGGAGATTCCGAAATCGCCTGGCAGCCATGTTTGAAGCTAATGGCGATTTTAATGAAGAAATCTACTCTTTCGTATGTGAAGATATTTTGGGGTAATTTTCGTAAATATATCTCTTAAAATGAGATGACAGTGTTATTTTCATTTTTACGTAATTTAGACGACATTTTATCAATCGCACAATCCTATATCGATAGATAGATAGATAGATAGATAGATAGATAGATAGAGAAATAAAATATGAACAGACCATGATAGCTAGATTAGATAGATAGACAGATATGAACGGACTAGATATATAGATACAAACAAACCTAAATTGAAAGACAGATAGATATAAGCACACACACATTAGATAGATAGATAGATAGATAGATAGATAAATAAGAACAGACTTAGATATGAAGAGACCGAGATAGATAGATAGATAGATAGATAGATAGATAGATAGATAGATAGATATAAACAGACTGTGATAGATAGATATTAAGAGACCGAAATAGATAGATAGATAGATAGATAGATAGATAGATAGATAGATAGATATGAACAGACTGTGATATGAAGAAACCGAGATAGATAGATAGATAGATAGATAGATAGATAGATAGATATAAACAGACTGTGATAGATAGATATGAAGAGACCGAAATAGATAGATAGATAGATAGATAGATAGATATGAACAGACTGTGATAGATATGAAGAAACCGAGATAGATAGATAGATAGATAGATAGATAGATAGATAGATAGATAGATAGATAGATAGATAGATATAAACAGACTGTGATAGATAGATATGAAGAGACCGAAATAGATAGATAGATAGATATGAACAGACTGTGATAGATATGAAGAAACCTAGATAGATAGATAGATAGATAGATAGATAGATAGATATAAACAGACTGTGATAGATAGATATGAAGAGACCGAAATAGATAGATAGATAGATAGATAGACCAGAAATAGAAAGATAGAAAGAATTAAATTTAAGGCAAGTAAGAGGAGGCCCAATGCAAGTCCTCGTAAACTGTTGTCAAATGTTGCGATAGGATATATCCTCCCGCCATTATCAATATCTCGTATCTTTTCTACGCTGGCGCCGCTCACCAAATGAACAGGCATCCCATCGCGTGAAAATATCGACATTTTGGAAAAGAGCCATGTCAAATATTTATCTAACAAACACTCAGCTCCATGTTTCTTTTCGTTTGTTATTCAATAGGATCAAAAAAAGGTGGGCCTGCTTTTTGAATAAAAAGTAGTAAAATCCAATGAAAGTAATTCCGACAAACATTCATTAGGCTAATCTAGATTTCTTTTTATGTGCATTCTGGATGTGGGAGATCACGACTCCCCACAATTTCCTTTCCATTCTTGTTCTAAGCACCGCCTGATTCTTTCCAATTCTATCTGTCTCTCGCTCTGTCATTTCTTCACTGAAGATAATGTGTGTTTCAAATCCAACACGATGGACAAATATAATCGGTAAAAAAACACGATTCAACAAGCCTCACATTAATTCCGCGCAACCTTCCTGGATTCTAAGGAAATTAGAAAAGTAACACTTTATTGAGGGGAGGTATAGTTTTCTGCCCTCATGACCAGGGTGGCAAAAGCTGATTTTCAAGGCAGACATACATTTTCTATACTTGTAAAAGATTATTTTTAAATGCCATATCCCTTCAAGGCGTATGCAATCAAGGCTCTCCACACATTTCTTCTTTTTTTTTTTTTTAAATATCTGTGAACTGTCATGACTTCTTGGGAAATAGATAAAGTTCTTTTTTTCTCTCAGACTGGCTGCTAGCCAAGGTTGGAAACTCCAGTCTGCCCGGCTATTTAATCCACTGTTGGATGTAGAAATGATGGATTCATGTCTTTTTCCCAAAAATGCCAAAGTGGACTTGCCCATTCCGATTTTCTGTCCCAATAACCGTTAATCTACCAACGCGTTCCTCTTCTCATGTCGCATGAATATCTGCTTGTCTGCATATCTACCATACTGTCATCAGCCATGGTTGCTTTTAATCAAAAATTTTATATTTTACTTGCCAGTCAAAAAAAAAAAAAAAAAAATTGAGTTCATCTTTGTAGATGATCAAAAAAAAAATATCGATTTATCGATTTCAGACTCAGTCATTAATTTGGAGTCCTAAACTGAAGCGATTTGTTTGTAGACACAGACAAAATCAAAATAAGGGGAATGCGGTCTGAGCCAAGTCGTTGTTTTTACAAGACTTACTCTTTTTTAAAATCATTCACCCCCACCCACCCCAAGCAAGGCAATAAAGCCACTAAGATTAAGATACAGGAAAATTACTGAATGCGAAAGAACAAGAAAAAACATTATTAAAGAGCAAGAACAATAAAAAAAAAAAAAATGAATGAAGAAGACGGCATATAACGACTGTCATTGCATTTAAATATCTGAAGATCAAAGTTGGCGGGAAAGCAAGAAGCAGCGTTCCACGGGTGAGAAGTGCGAGAAAAGAAAACTGTTAGCAAAGAACTTACGGTTACAGCTAGCCATTTCAACTGTGAATTGATGTGACATTGTTACTAATCTGGTACTGCACTTAAATTCATAAAGTCAACGTACCATAGAGGAAAGTAATATTTATTTTGTAAAATACAAAAATATGGCACAAGGCCAGTAGAGGAGATCGAGAAGGTTGTTCTTCTTCTTTCTTATAATTAATCTTAGCTAGCAACAATTACCGACCCAAACATACCACAGAATTTCTTATATGAAAACAACACAGTTTTATTATCATGCTTACTACAGCTACCATATTGCCTCAAAGTCTCTAGAAAGTCCTAACTAGTCATCATAGATGCAATTTGTCTGTGCGGGTGGTGAATAAAATAAGTTCATCAGAACAATTACCATGAAAGTATTTATAGAAAAGTTACACGGAAACAACACTACAGCAAGGGGAGAGTGACTGAAGCCAAGATGCCAGATCAGGACAAATAACATTGCAGGTTCTTTGGATTTTATCAAGAATCTCTAAATATATAACAGGGACAAAAGACTATATATGTTAGCCATATTCGAAGCGTGGATGAATGTTCTAGTTCCACGTGCCATGCCTCTTCCGGTCGTCGCAGTTATTTCCCTTTAACTCAACTATTGTTGGTTCACCACTTCTGGTATTGAATTCACAAACTCTTTGGGCCTAGTCACTGGATCTAGCCAACGCCTATATCCACTGGATCATGCGTCCTCGAGGATAAAGGCTGGTGAATAACTGAGACACCCAGAAGAGGCATGCACATGAAACTAGAACAATCTACCCGGGTGGACGAAAGAAACGGTTCGATTCTAAACTCCAATCACCCAAAGAAGGCCGGAGCGTAAAACGGCCAAAACCTTGTGAATATAGCAATGAAGATGAGGATAACCGTCAGAACAATGTAAATAATGTAAATACGGTATTTTATTGTTGTGGGACTCTCAATGAATTTATTTTCTCAGTGAATTAAGATTATTCATCAGAAAATTAAAATGGGAAAACCGTGAAATTTTTGCGGGTACTGCCCTACCCTTATTTGCATTATGCAAATAAGGGTAGCGGAACAGTCACCTTAGGTGAAATTAGAATCGACAGGCCGAGTGTTGACTTTTGCATTAATGCCCTGGTAGAAGGCATGGATCAAGTCTTCTTTACCCAGCGAGGAGGTGAATCTGGAATCTTTAGGCTTTGGCGGTATTCAGTCTAAGAGAACGACAGCGTTGAATTCAAAACTGTAAAGAAGACGACTGAGCAAAATGGATATATTTGGAAAGGATATTAGAATAATCAAGAACCTGTACTGGCAGCAAACCGCCTGCAAACGGAAAGATGAGTTCAGCAGATATACAAAAATAGAAAGGGGCGTAAGGCAAGGATGTGCCTTCTCACCGGACTTATTCAACCTATACTGCGAGGCTATCCATTTCCAGCTTTTCCTATAGGCGCTTAATTATACCGACAGTTGCGTATTTATAACCCCTCTTCTTCCTACACGTATATAATTCCATCGATAAACCTATTACTTTAGTCCAATGAAGTCATTTTAGAAGACGAAAAGAGGCATTCTAAAAGCTAAGCAAGGTGCTGAAAAATGGAAAGTTTCATTAGAAACAAAGACAAGATTGATGTATCCATCTTCTTATATGGCAATGAATGTTGGACAATTTTCCATTAAGATGAAGATAAAAAACTATAAGCAACAGAAATGTGATTCCATAAAAGAATACTCACTGTCCATGAAATTTTAAGTAAGCAACAAGGAAGTCTTAAAAAAAATGGCAACATGAAAGAACATTTCTAGTCAGAATCAGGAAAAGATAGCTGAAATTCCTTGGACACATAATGAAGAAAAAAAGGACTTGGAAAACTGTTGTCTTCCCTGGCATATAAATGGATGGCAGAACAGGAGTGCAGAGACCTTAGCCTTGCGAGAGAAAAAAATATGGAGAACCATGATTGCCTACGCCCTGAAAGGACACGGCATGAAGAAGAAGAAGAAGAAGAAGAAGAAGAAGAAGAAGAAGAAGAAGAAGAAGAATCTTGGGTAAATGAATGGATGAACAAGGTTTAGGAGAGATAAAGAATGACAAAAATCATTAAAAGCTAAAAAGGACAGGAAATTGTGGAGAGCCATGATCGCCTAGACCTTGAAGGGACACGGCACAAAGAATCAAAAGCTTGAGTAAATGAATGGATGAACAAAGTTTAGGAGGGATAAGAAAAAGACAAAAATCATTATAAGCTAAAAAAGACTGGAAATTGTGGAGAGCCATGATCGCTTACGCACTGAAGGAACACGGCACAAAGAATAAGAAGCTTGAGTAAATGAATAGATGAACAAGGTTTAGGAGGGATAAGAAAAAGACAAAATAATTAAGAGCTAAAAAAGACAGGAAATTGTGGAGAGCCATTATCGCCAACGTCCTGAAGGGACACGGCTCATAGAAGAAGATTTGTTGGATTAAGTCAATATGCAGTTTATGTGGATCTTACCAGATTAACATGCTATTCGTTGCTGTGTAGCAAATGTTCTGTGATATCGAAATTCATATACAATCATAATTTTTGATCATTTTCCCCTGATTTTATGATTTTTCGTTGTGTGTGTAGTTCATTTTCTCCTTCTTCTGTGAGAGTTCGTTGTATAAGAACGCAGCTGAAACACATGCCAAAGCCTTGTGTGGGGAATATTGATTACGAGCTTTGAATATTGTAATATTTAACAGCTTTCTCTTTTCGTCATATTTTTTAATTGATGACATTTGCCAGCATCGAAGGCTGAAAAGACATAAATTTAAATTTGAGCCTTGTGACAAACGTGACAAGTCATGGATTAGTCGCGGAAGGATACAGCAAGGGGTGGTGCGGAATTTTACAAGCCGCACGACGGAGCGTTATTCCCCCCCCCTTTGCACGTCCGCCATCACGTGCAATATAAAGGAACGCACAAAAGAACGAACATAAATTAAGTTTGTATAGGGAACGATGGAAAATCCGGGGGAATCTAGTGACTTTCCGTCTGTTTTTATGATAGACAAATATTTGTTATCATCGTTTTGTCTTTAGTTAGGGATGACTGTTTTTATTTTTTTCTCACCAGATCTCTGAAATATCGTATTTTTTTTTTTCGTCTAATTCTTTAGCAGATTAATTTCACGTCACACCGGGAAAAGCGAGAGACCCCAGCTTCTTTTTCACGCTTAAACAATGATGGAACAGCGTAAAATCTAATAAGCAGGCGAACATTAAATAAAAAAAGAAAAGAAAACAGAAAAATAAATAAAATTATACCCGGGAGGAAAAACAGTGAAGCTTTTTGTGATGGCCCCTGTGTTAAGTAACCGAGACTTAAACCACAGGCAACACTGTTTCATTTCATTTATTCGACAGGCAAAGCGACTTAATCAGCAATTATTTTCACAAACAATACGAAACACATAATTCGTTAGAAGAAGAATTTCTATGATAAGCAAAAATAATGATTGAAATTTAAAAAATGAACAAAAAACATTGTTAATTTGACCTCATGTTGGTATTTCATTATTGCATCATATAAAGCAGATTGTTTCTACATTATCCGGATTTAATTCACAACTACAAAGGACT